TAAGAGTGCTCCAATCATTTTCCTCTATATAATTAGTGCCCTTGCGAATACATACCAAATAAGCAAAATAAAGATCATTACGCCATTAAGTTTTTGCTTTCGTAATCAACACACCCGAGATAGAGAGTATACATTTGTATATGTGATATCTGTTGAAACGTGTACCTGATGAGCTGAAATGAATTCCATTCCTCGCGCGATATCAGACGTGAATTTATAAAGTTGTTGTATGGATATTTTTCTTGGAATTTCTTTCCTTTTCAAATCATAATAATCATCTGTCTCCCCTCTACTTCTTTTCAAAAACCCAAGAAGATCTCCGTGAGGGACAAACTCCAGAATAACGAAGGGTGGTTCTGTAATAAAACAATGACATTTTAGGTTTTCCAAAGCCAGTAGTTGTAAGAAGTCAGTGCTGTAAAATTAACCTCTTACTTACCGGACGTGAGGGCCGTACTGGGGAATACTGGCCCAAGGTTGTGGCAGTACATACAAATCGCAGCGACGTCTGTGCAAAAACGACTGAGGGCCAAAACACCCCAGCTTGGCTTGAACAAGTGCGGTTAGTCAGTAGTTTATTATATGGGACTCGCACCAAACCTATCTATTTTGAATTTTCCAGCTTTCACCACCAGATTTACGCAGCTTTTGATCATTTCTTTGAAAAGGGTCCGTATGGAAAAACATGCACTAAGTAAAACCAATCAGGACGCTTGGATTTACCTCAGGACTACCTCGATGATCACAATACGCGGTATTACACCGTCCCTGTCAAAAGTGTAATTCGTGATGATTAGTCAATAGTTTTTAATCAATACTGATCACAGAAACTTACTGAACGTGCGCCTTCCTTCACATCGAATAACATCCTTGGTTAAACAGCCCAAAAGTTGAATCACGTTAGGATGAGGTTTCAGTTTCTTCAGCAAGTCCAGCTCAGACAACAAATCCGTCAGGTCTGACTTTGAGAAGTTTTCTGCAAAAGAGGGCTAGTTATTATTAATTACACTGATCGCAATTGCTGTAACGGTCTTGCTTTAGCTCTCCGTGCAGACCTCAGTTATTAGAATAATCGACCGCGATGATTCAGACCCAAATCATTAATAAAATCGGCCTTTGAATTTCCCTTGTCCCATGCCCGTGACAAATGTTACTCATTTTGAAAATAATGAAGCGCATCATACGCACCCTTCAGCATTTTAACAGCGACAAAAGACCAGCCTTGAGTACCACAAACATCCAGTCCTCTACCCTTCCACACTTCACCAAATGTGCCACCGCCAATTCGCTCAATCAGTGACAAATGATCACTTGGAACTTCCCATTTTTTGTTGCTGAACACGAGGGTATATGGTGACTCCACCTGAACTGCTGTTAGCAGCTGAGATGAATTTTGATATGCTGCGTTCTTGCAAAGGGCTTTTGGCAAGCTTGCATTTTGATAGGACGTTTTTTCGCGGAAAGTTTGAGGAGTGGAGCCGTCAATATCTATTTGATCTGATACTTTGGCGCGTGCGCAGTGTTCAACTCCTGCTTCATCACACAAAGGGTTGCTTCGCAGACATTCCACAGGTAATGTTCCTGGTGCTTTTCTATTGAATTTTTTCCTAGGCTTAGGCCGGGGGCGTGTTGAGCACATCACCTGGGTCTCTCCGTGGCTGAATCTGCCACTCTCTGTGTTTTCAAAACCGGCTGAAGGTTGAAGGTTATGTTCAGAAAGACAAGTTCTTGGAGATGAACCATTACTCCTTTCACATTCCTCGGAAGAATTAAATGTTTTAGGCCCTGTTGGTAACTCGTATGGTTTAGTTTCAAGAGCTGTAGGGTTCATTTCAGGTTTAAATGTTGCCAACAACAAACATTGCGATGCTCTTGGCTTCTTGTAGATGCTTTCTGTGTTTCGTATCGATGTCTCTCGTTGTTCTGCCGTGAACGAAGTATCTTCTATACCAAAATGTGTTTCTGATGATAAAACGGAAGTTCTTTCTTCGACAGTACCTTGGGCCTACAAATTTGGAACATTCGTCACTAGTACTAGTCGAAAGAGTTAAACCAAAGGAAAAGACGAGCACATCACAGAGTTTTTAAGCAAATTAAAAGACAGTACAAATAATAGTAAAGTTCGTAGCGCGTGCAGCCAAACCCCACTCTCATACAATATGGTAGTATTTTTTAACAGATCACTGCTCTAAATGAAACATCCCTTACTCCTCTCTAATGAAATATCTCTTACCGCTTCAGACGCGAGATCCATTTCTGGTGTAAATGAATAAGCTGTTATTCTAGAAGAAAATTGAGCAGCATTACTTGCTTTAAGTCACAAAATAATCAACAGCGTTGCTAATTCATCTAAGTGATGAACGGAGGAGTGAAAGCTTTCTTTAAAATTATTTTCATTGGAATTGCCTGTTCTATCAATCAGCCACACACTTAATTACGTTCTTGAGTAGCCACATCGACTGGCCGCCCCTGGGTCTTGAGGTTGGAGTGGCCTCAATCCATTTTATGAATGACACTCACCCTCTCCTGTCTTGGTGTCCTGTGGAAGGGAGAGATTTTGATAGAAAGAGACCATTACTCCTCAATCATCGTCAGAAAACTCTATTAACCCACTAAATGTACTATGGCATCCGTTAAAGCTGTCAGAGTTCCCCTTTTCTGTTTACTTGCGTGGTTCTAGCTGAATAAAACTTTTCTTATCGTGTTTTAATAATTTGCCAGCTTCTTCTTTAAAAACTTTTTAAAATTAGTGTTAAAGTTGATCCCCAAATTTTGGTTGTGTTGTTGGCGCACTCACTATACCTTTTCTTTTTCGCCAAGAAATATTTCATGTACTTACTCTCAGGATTTTCCTTCATGGGCTTGCATTTTATTCGCAAGAAACAACACAATCCAATAAAGATGATTACACTGACACTGAGTGCTATTATAATAGCGACCAAGGATCCATTGATCGACCCTTCTGTTTTCCGTGAGAATGTCCCTTCCACAACAAAGACAGATGGTTTTACTGATCCTTCAATCTCTGTTGTAAAATCATAAAAAAATAAATTTGGGTCAGTTCATGTTTTTCACGATAGGAGCCTTTTACTAGAAGGGTGGCATGATGAAACTAGGGTAGATGCAAATGCATAGTTTTTTGATCATCTTTGATTCAGTTGTCAAACGTGTAGCTTGATTTATTCAATCTTGAGAGTAACTGGTAATTGGATAAGTAGTGTATCTGCCTGCAATTAAAATTTAAGCGGCAGAACTGCCAGATCGGGAAGCAGAGCTCCGGCTTGCCACTTCTTCCGCGGTTACGCTTACAAAAGATCCAGGTACGCAGGCAGGTGGTTTTGCCATGTCAACTCCGTTTTGATGATGGCCTTTCCATATCCAACGAATTGGATAAAACAAATCTCACTTAGAAGCAAAACCTTTGATGGGCCGGCAGTCTATCCCGGAATCGGAGAGACTCTAGGTGTATTCGTGAGAGAAGTTCAGAGAGGAGATACTTTAAAATATTTCACCCTGCGTAAGGTAAAGTTTAATCATCTCTGAATAGAGTCCAAAGCTTTCTGAGAAATACGATGATTCTTTACCTGA